ATATAAATTTTAAATAACGAAATATGGAATCATAAGGTCATAGATATAATGAAAAATTATTATTACTTTTAAGATTAAAAAAAATTATTTTAAGACATTGATATATTTGAAAACACATAAATATTTTAGTTATTATTATCTATTTGCCTCTTTAGATTTAAATTCTTTTTAATAAAGTTAAGCATGACTAAGGTGGAAAATACATGCCATCTATTTAAAGCCCTTAGGCAATTGTAATTGCAAGCTAAATATAACGCAGTTGAACTTAAAATTATTGGAATTGATTGTTTACTAAATAAACACATCAACAATATCCTAGTCCAAGGGTATTTATGTGTCGGCGCTCTCGCCCTGACTTCGAGCTCTTTCTAGTGGCTTTTATTGTTTGATGGACTGTGGAGCAGGGGGCGAGGGTGCGTACCAAAATAGCGCCAGCAACGCACGTCGAATGCAGGAGAGGAGGGAGGGGGGAGGCTGGCAGTTACAGATTTGACATGCGTCATGGCTCACGCCTCAGCCAGCGGCACTAATTGCAGCCCGTTCGCTCAGCATTTTCAGAAATTTCGAATTTCATTTCAGATTTGGCTTTAGCACTTGCAGCAGTCAAACAATTAGCAAACGGCCCGCCCGAGCAGCAGCTGCTCGCCCAAAATATTGAATTGAACGTCAACATTCAAATCTGAATTCAGAGCGACCCGTCGCAGTCGCAGCAGCAGCAGCAGCAACGGCAGCAGCAGCAGCCAACGTCAGAGATGCCAAAGAGCGGACACTGACTATAGCTGGCCTGCTCGCACTTGCGGCTGTCTGCGACTATTTTGGTAATCCCGACTAGTTGGGCATCTCGCTCGCCGGGAAAAAGCACCAAATACACAATCACACACACACACACACACATTGATGCATATGTATATTAATATACACATAGACAGCTCATGTCCAACCTAGTTGTATGTATTGTATTTGGTATTTTGGTCGCTCTCCGGCGACGGCAGCGGTTCCGGTGCCAGGCCAGACGGCGAGCAGTGCCATCGATCGGGACAGAAGCCTCAGAATCGTGTAATTTGCCTCGTGCGTTGACGCTGGGCGCTGCTCGCTGATTATTTTCAATTTATTGCTGCACGAAACGAAACAAACTGAATTTTTCCGTTCCGCTCGCATTATGCGTTTTTAATTGTACAACAAGAAATTCATTTTGTTTCATTTCTGCAATTTGTCTCGCGTCCGTTCTGTCACTTTACGTTGTTGTCACCACCTCTGTCTCTGTTGTCGTTCCCGTTGTCGTTGTCGTTGTCGTTTTCTTCCTATTCCGTTGTTCGTTGCACGCTGTTTCATTGTTCGTTGTTGTCGCCTCTTTCGTTGTCGCTGGCTGAGCGTTTACTCTCGCAGTGTCAAACACAGCCAGCGCCAGTGATCATCTCAGGAAGCATTCAAGATCTCAAGATTCCCAGGTTCCACTTCGTGTCGTGAATGCAAACCTAAACTCAATTCTGCTCGTGATCGTGATTGTGAACGTGATCGTGATCCTCAACGTCATAGTGAACGTCAATAGTGATTATTTTCTGAAAAATTTCGATTGTTTATATAATAACCCAGAGCGGGCCACGAGCACATACAAGAAAGCAAGAAAAGAAGAAGAAAGAAGCAAAAAGAAAAAAAAAAAATTGAAAATATTCATTTCTGCGTGATTCTCTTTCAGGCAAAACAAGTTGAGAAATTCTCTATTGAGTGTCTGTGCTGCCCTAGTGTGCGTGTCGGTGGGCCGCTATAGTCGCAATAGTTTTACAAATTTAGTGAGCAAGCGCCAAACCGAGTGAAAGTGACCCTAAAACAAGAGCCAAAGATACTCAAAAGAAGTGCATAAGCCCCTTGAGATAAACACAATCAATTAGCAAACATGTCGGACAATGAGCAGGTTGTTGCTGCCGCCGAGGAGCAGGCCAAGACAAGCCCCGATCCGGTGCCAGCCGCCGATGACGATGGCAGCAAGACCAGCGTCGTCACCGAACGCACCGAGGAGGTGATTCCCGGCGAGACCGAGAAAATGGTCACCGAAGCCATCGACGAGGACGGCGATGTCGTTGAGGAGACAACCGAAGTGACCCGCAAGACCGTCAAGCGTACCATGAAAATAACCGAGGTGAGTGAGAGGAATAGTACATAAGTCTAGGGCTGGATCAGTCAGTGTTGGAAATGACCAAAACATGTCCGAATTCTTTATTTACTTATATGTACATAAATATACATACATATACCAAAAATAATTTTTCACTCTATGTGTGCGTCTTAACAAATTGTTTATATAGCCGTAGAAATGCCATAAATCAAGATATGCTATCTATACCAGAATAGCATATATGTATATCCGCAGTATGTGTATGTAAATGCATGTATATATCATATGCTGAGCTGTATATGATATATGTATATGCTATACATGTGGCTCGGACACACTTTATATAGGCGACGACGCCTGGCACAAAATCACAAATTTTGCAGCTGTTTGATTTCAGCGCAAATTACGAATATCAAAAAAACAAAAATTATTGTTAAACACAAATCACTTAATGCGCTGTGATAGCTGCCAAGAAAGCAGAAAAAAAGCAATAATAAAAATTAAAAACAATTCGCCAAAAAGAACAAAATTATTATTCAAATGAAATGCAATAAATTCTGCGTTGCCTAGCAAAAGTCGCAAAGAAAATGTAAAAAATATTGAGGTTTCCGTGTCTGGCGGTCTGGCGCACAGGCAGCAGGAGCCGGGGCGCATTGCAATTAATTGCCGCAACTTTTGTTGCACAAATTACAAATTGCATTTCCGGTTTGGCGCGGCAGCGACGCGTGCGGCCAACGCAGCGCTATCTTGACTCTATATAGACCGCCTCAATTGATTTCTGTTATTGGCCAACTCTGTAGCCGTTTTATGGCCGCCTGGGCTTTGTTTGCTTTTGTTTTTTTCGCTTTTCTCAAATTTTATGCGACCCAAATTAAATTTGCGATTACGGGATTTTCGTTTTGGGGCTGATTTGACATTTTGTCCTTTGCTGTTTCCAAAGAGTCAAATGTTAAACGAAATTAAATGGAATCCGTTACGCACATGAGTTTAGATTTACGCAACATGAGCGACAGCTATGAGGCAATGACACTGGCTGAAAGCCATATATCAGTTCCAGTTAATGGCTGAAGCAGCCGCAGCAGCGCGTATTTCTATTAGTAAAGCTTTTGAAGATTGGAGATGCACTGTGTATTGAATTTGGACTCAGTTTTAACTACTATTGGCAGGTGCCTAAACTTTCAGGAAGTTTTAGTTTTATTTAGTTTTTTTTAATTTATATTTTATTTATTTAAGTTAAGTTAGTGAAGCTTCAGCTTGTTTTTTTTTTTGTA